TATGTATGTATGTATGTATGTATGTATGTATGTATGTATGTATGTATACAGGAACATCAAATTGTTGACCTCCCACCCCACAGTTTTTGGGAATCCATTCACCGGTGATGGGCTGAAAGGGGCGTATTTCTTCAAGCAACACCAATACTGGCAGGGAAATGTTTGAGGTCGACCATCCATTTGAGAGACACCAACCAACTGCTCAGGTATCGCTGAGGCTCCGATTTCTTTAGGAGTGCCTACTGTAGCGCGGCCTCAAACCAGGAGTCTACAAATTCCCCTACATCGACCATGTCCTTTGTTGGACAGAAAAGTTGATCACTTTCAAAGGGAGCACACTTTGTGTAATCCTGAGATCCCAACAGTTCGCAGCTATTTTGCAGGGCTCCGATGTTCACGAGCTCGTGATGCTCCAAGCCACGGATACCCTGAACCTGCCACAAAAAGCTGCTTCCAGAAGGCTTCATCTCATAGAGTAAAAGCATGTACAGTAAAAACTATGGAATATCATGCAAATGTTGCCTTGTGCTTTGACATGGGCAGCTCTGGCGGATCAATATCCAGCACCCGCCGGGCAGCAATCTTCAGAGCCACACTTCCTTGGAGCTCCAGTGGACAGCTGGGATGGTTGGGAGGTTCGACAAGCGTAGTGAAAAGAACAACAGTGGACAAGAGGCTACTAGGGGCTCCTGGCATCGCAACTAGGAGCAAGAAGCTACTAGGGGCTCCTGGCATCGTTACTAGGAGCAAGGACGCGACTAGGGGCTCCTTCACAGCACCCAAGCTGTGCGTCACCAGCTCTCCTTCAAGGAATCTGACAACAAAACTAGAGGGGTAGAGGGGCACCAGGCCAAGCGCGACCAGAATACCATGATCATTTCTCGCAGCCAAGGATCTTTTGGGCCCCTTGGCCTACAAAAAACAATCACAAATGCCACAACTATTGAAAAGACTTTGCTCGGTCTACCCGAGTCTACCCGTCGCCGAGGCTTCGACCAGCTTGGCCTTTTTCACCTCCTCAGACTCATCGTCCGAGTCCGGTTCAGGTTCAACAGGCTTGGCCTCCGGTCGCGGTCGTGGAAAAGGCGATTTGGGCCAAGCACGGTTTGGATGACATGTCTGTATTTCGACGACAACACCATACCGGGTCACAACAGAAGCTCAACATAGCGCGACTAGTCAACTGTTCAAATGAGAACAAGAACTCAAATTGCGATGCTTTTGCCCCGAGGAGGCTATGTCTCGCGAGACTCGCTTCGCTCTTCCATCGGGAGCAAATTGCCTCCAGTACAATGCCAAATACATTAGCGCGTGTTGCAATACATGCAGCACCAATTCCAATGCAAACAAGATACTTAGATCAGGCTTGGGCATTGGCTTTTCTTCAGCCCCCTCCTGCCATCCACAGTGCAAAACAGAACTTCAACAGTCTGCGACTCGACTCAATGTTTGCACCAAAGCATTCGCCTCCAGTTCAAACTTGGTCAGTTCTGACCACTCCTCCTGGATGCATCTGAGAATAGACAATCATGCATTCCTTGATTCACCATCACCTTCTACTTTCTGGCACTGTTTAGGAAGCCGGACGAAAAACACACACCGCTTACACCGAATCATGCTGCATCCTGTGAATCCCTCAGCCGCACGCCGCGTGACTATTGACTATCAAAACTCCACTTTCAAAAGCCTGTGCCTCATCTTGCATGCGAATCTGCGTCTCCATTCCTGGCTTATCACCTGAGCGGCGACCCCGTTGGCTGCCCATCTGTGCCTCTGGGCTATTTGTCTTAGCTCTGGGCCCTTCAAGAGTCTCACATTAATATCACCCACCACCTCTGGTGGCGGTCCAAAGGAAGGGCCATACCATGGCCCTTCACCGGCCTGAAGAAAGACAGCGCAATTCACCAGACTTCAATGGGTCCCTGTCAATCCTTGGAACCGATGTGGTGCCGAGCTGGAGCCAACCAAATCATCCAAAGGGTCTAACTCAAAAATGAAGATCCTCATGTTTTAAGCCGGGGGGTAGGCAGTGTAGAAAAGGGAGGTAGCGAGTAGTAGCTAGTAGAAGCTAGGTAGCTAGTACCTTACTTAAGCTACTAGTTTCCTTGAAGAAGCGCTTGCACTATTCATTTGGCTCCTCGATTTTTAGGGAAACTTATATATTATATAAGCTGTTCTTTACCAGCCAGCTGCCCTTTGCAGCGTTGTGCCGTCAATAACTCACGCGCACCTTCAGCAACACAAGGGTGCCGTGCCAGAGCGACTCCTCACCGGAAACTGGATCCAGCCATCCATGCACTCGCTCTTCGCCCACTGGCTCCTTGGCCCAGGCGCGCCAAATCGACCATCCAAACAACTTCCGCAAGCCGCATCATGAGGTCTCAATTCTATCAGCAGTGAGCTTTGACAGCGATCAGTGGGGAGATACGTTCGTTTTCATCTGAAAGTCTTCTATTCTATTCCGAGTAGAGGTTCGCCCACCTCGGACTCCATAAACTGTTCACTGACACCTGCGAGCTGTTCATCTTTTTCGTGCCATGGATCAGTATAGGAGAGACGAGCTGTGACGGGATCTTTACCGATGGTGCACTTGCCTTTCTCAGACTTCCAGGAACCATGCAGTCCATCTCCTCATGGCGTTTCTGAAGACAATTACACCACCGTAGACCCCAAACAGTTTGTTTTTCGAAGCCCGAACACTCTGCAACTAGAGCTTGCGACGTCCAGAGCTGGGAGACAAAGGATTGCAAGGCCACAGCAGTCCAGAGCTGGGAGACAAATGTAGACACAGGGAGACAAATGTAAAGGATTGCAAGCAACATGCGGCCCAGAGCTGGGTGACAAATACATAAAGGGGCGGACACAGCAGTCAGAGCTGGGAGACAAATGTAAAATTAAGGATTGCAAGGCAGAGGCGGACATAGCAGGCCAGAGCTGGGAGACAAATGTAAAGGATTGCAGGGCAGAGCAGCTGGGAGACAAATGTGAAGGGTTGCAAGCGAGAGGGAGAGAGAGGAGGCACATGTAAAGGAAAGAAGGAAGACAAGGCGGACACAATGACCAACAACAAGGGGGACAACAAGGGAGACAAGAAGGGAGACAAAAGGAAGCAGAAGGGAGACAAAATGGACACAGTGCCCAACAAGAAGGGAGACAAGACCGGAGACAAAGGGAGACAAGAAGGGAGACAA